TGGAATTGTTGGGCTTGGCTGGGCCGGCAGGTGACTCTTTGGCTCATTCGTAGGCCGTGAGTGTTACTAGCTGGTTGTAGTAGATCTGTGCGGTGTGTCGGAGATGGCGGCTTCACATGCGTGCTTAGACCTGCGGACATTGTTGACTCTGGTCGGTTTGTTACCGGCTTCGGCTGGTCGGCTGATGGCTTGATTTTGTTGCGTTGGCAGTTGCATGTATGAACGGCTTGGGCCCATAGTCTGTGGTGTAGTGGTAGACGATTCAAAAATGCAAATTTATAAAACACTTAGTTCAACTTGGCAAATGAACTCCAACGTCTTGAGGGTATTGATTGACATATAAAGGTATATTTTGTTAACGGATTGAATTCTCTGTATCATTCAATGTAATTGTTTCTATTTAGGGAAAGTATTCTAAACCAATCACCTAATTTATTTTTTACTAGCATCAAAGTGGACCTATACACCAACGAAGGGTAACAGGTGTTGATAAGTAAGTAGGGATTAAAGCTCAGGTACTAATAATAACAGCTATCAATTAATATTTCGAAGGCTTTATCGGTTATTCATCGTTGTCAGTCAGTCAACGTAGAACTTCGTACGTACGTAAGTACATCAGTTCATGTCGCCATACCACATCAGCTCAGAGATGTAATTGTCAATTCAAATCCAATAGAGTAGTAGAGGTAGTAAAGGTATTAGAAGTAATCGGAGAGGTTAGGATTAGAAGATATTATTCAAGAAGTATGATTCAGTGAGAAAAGTTTAGAAAGACAAAACTAGAGGTGTTGAAGAATATAGAAGATTAGGATTAGAGAGAACATAAAGAATAAATGCACTGGCGCCATTGCGAACGATTTTGAGCCATGTCATTCAAGGTCTCTAACCATCGATAGTCTACACCTAGACCACGTTTTTTTTAAGACAGAGTTGTTTTAATGGTTTTACTACGTTGAATTTAACCTAGTTACTGTTATGATGTGCAGTGCTTCAAAAATCTAAACGTGATATGTACTAACATCACCAATCAACAACTTGGGTAGAAAGACAAGAGTGGCAGCGGAAGTCTCGGTGCCCACCGAGTCAAATATATATATATATATATATATATATATATATACTCATTCAGATATATATGCACCTCTATCCGTTAGAAAATGAATTTATTTCTCGACAAATCATAGATATTTATTCTTTAGAACACTTTTAATTGCCAACAAATAACCTTTACCGTTCGATCACTTCTTATGATTGGCTTCCTTTTTAAGAAATTCATTAGACTTTATATAAACCTGAAAAAATTGAGCATTATTGATCAACAACAACAAAAAAAAACAGTTTAAAGTGAAGACCCTTAAATCTTTAGTTCAATTGTCAAAGTAGTCTTAAGAAACACAATACTGAAAATTGAACAACTCATATGAAACATACAGTAACTTATAAGCTAGTTCGTTTTAGAAATAGCTTTTCGCAGCTTTGAAGGATGCTTTAATGAATCTCGATTCATGAGATTCCCGTCCTATCAGAGCCTTTCGTGCACGTTTGGAGAGCATCAGTGCAACTCCTTGTGTATGTGAAGCATTTTCCTGTTCATGACCAGAGTATAACAGCAGTTCCCCTGAAGCTAGTCTCAGTTGTCCTACCTGTGTCCAATGCGTTTCACTGATGCCGAGCACCTCGAGGTTGTATCTTTTCATTTCTGCCACAACTTGAAATAGACGAACGTTCCATGTACCTAAAAGAATGGTTACTCTGGTTGTGTGCGAAGTGGCATCGACCCCGTGACTTCCGAGGGAACTCGGCTTTCATCACGTGACGTCATAATTCTTCTTCGAACTCCCAGGGCAGAGTTAAAATGGTTTGAATTATTTTTTCTGGTTAGCGTTTTTTTGGCAAGTTAGTTTTTGACGGGATGGGGTCGCAAACCTCATGCCCAACCCCTCCTCTTTTATCCGAGCATGGGACCGGCATTAGCCCCAAAGGGACTACAAGCGGAGTTTTCGAATTGAATAATCTTTTGCTTACATGTCTGTTTAGTTAATCACGCAGTTATAAAAAGCTCAAAAAACAGTTTTATCTTGCATTAGATAACCGGAAGAAATTTGGATATGTTGTCAGTCAGTCAGTCAACTAGTCAGTTTACAACGTAGAACTTCGTACGTATGTACATACGTACGTACATCAATTCAGGTTGTCATACCACATTAACGCAGAGTTGCCACACCATGTCAAGGTAACAGTTACGGTCACGGAAATATAACACAATTGTTAATATTGAAAAAAACGAACTAGTAAACACTGAATCAATCAACTAATCAATCAATCGACCTACCTTCATGAGATGGAATCGGTGGAAAGAATTGTCTTGGCATTTGGCCAATAAAAGGTCCAGCATGACGTAGACTAAATGAATCTTCAATTGACTAAAACAAACAGTAAACAAAAGACAAAATTCTAATTAATTGACAATTTTCATCACTAAAAATTAAGAATTTATTTTGATAACATGGGTAGTTGTTAAATAGTCAAACCATAGTACTCATCGCAGTAACAATATATGTACATATTGTTACGATATTCATCCAATATCCTAAAGAGAATTATTGGTCAATTCTTATTGGTTAATTCTTACTGGTCAATTTTATGGTCGTCCTAATAGATATCAATGTCACGTGCTCCAATGTTGTTTCTTATTGGTCGTCTTAACTGTCAATGTCACAGACTTCGATGCTGTTTCCTATTCGACCAAAATGTATAAATACGCATGATCTGTAACGTTTTGTGACCAGGACCAGGACCCGGTCCCGGATCCCTAGTTCGGGATCCTGATTCTCTTCTGGACTCGGACCTCGTACTTTCTGGATGTTTGTAGAATACAGGTTCTACTTCATATCAAGTCTTCTTATTTTCACTCAATATGGGGGTTGGGATAATCGGATTAGAGTAGCATGTCGTGTCACCGGATCCTCGATCTTCGCCCTCGTTTTCCGACTAGGTAAACTCGTAATAGTTCAGGCACATCAAAATGACGTGTTCACGTGCAAGCGTAACAAATATATACATATATATATATATCAGTCAGTTACCTAAAAAGTAGAACTTCGTACGTACATCGACATAGAACTTATTACACACGTAAGTATATTAGTTCAAGTTGTTTTACTACATCAGTACATACAGAGATCGAGTTGTCGATTTAAATCTCATGGCTGTAGAACTATTAGCAGAAGTGGAGAAGATTAGTGGTCGAAGATATGAGCCAAGATGTGCAGTTCAGTGAAATAAACTTGGAAAGAGAAAAATAAAGGTGATGAGGAGTTCAAAAGATTAGAATTTCATTGAACACAACGAGTAGATTGTACCAGATGTATGGCAAACGATTTTGAGTCACATTATTCAAGGTGTCGAACCATCGGTTACTTTCGTCTCACGGACCTCAACCTAGTGTAGTAGTAAGTCTACACTTACACCAACGTGAGGCTCAGTCTAGTTGTCAGTGACTTTACACAACATTTGTGACATACTTTCATTTGACCACCCAACCTCATAACTCATCGACCTATGCTTAACAACGTATTTTCCATTCAACAACAGAGTCTCCGAACAAACAACAATGGCATCACCAATGCAGAGACTAGAAGCTTCCATTTTACCAGTGATCAAGCCAAAATTGTGGGTTCGCTATGTAGACGACACATTCGTCATCAGCAAAAGGAACGAGCTGGAGAACATCTACAATCACATCAACAACGTCTTCGATGACATCAAATTCACGATGGAAATGTAATCAAACAACAGCCTATCATTCCTAGATGTATTAATCACCAGAACTAACGCAGGAAAACTGGAAGCCAACCCACACAGACGTAATTCTCAACTACGATAGTAACAACCCAAAATCCCACAAAATCAATTGCATACAAACTTTGTTCAAGAGAGCGAAGACACACTGCAGCATATATGAAGCACTAAAAAACGAGGAAAAACACCTGATGATTATCTTCCAAAAGAACGGCTATCCACGCAACTTCATCAAAAAACATCAACCGAAACCATCATCAGAAGCGAAATCAAGCACAGGAACAAATAAACGGATCATCCTACTATACATAAAAGACATATCGGAGCATACAGCAAGACTACTGAAACCATTTGGAATAGGTGTAGCACACAAACCAACAGAATCACTTCAATCAATCCTATGTTGTAGACCAGAGGAAAAAATGACAAATGAAGAAAAACCAAATATCATCTATAAAATAAATTGCTCAAACTGTGAGAAGAAACACTACATAGGACAAAGTGGACGGCCTCTCCAGCTTCGTTTACGTGAACATCAATTAGCAGTCAAACACCACGTCAACGCTTCGCCCATATTATAATACACACCGACAATCATGGACACACATTTGATTGGAACAATGTGGAAACACTGGGTAGGAGGAGGACAGAGAACACTAGAGAATTTTTAGAAGCTTGGCACTCTCAGGTCAATTAGCAATCAACAAACACATCAACATTGAACCAATTTATCAACCAATCAGGAAAATCATAGGTGACATAAGATCAAGAAACAGATCAAAACAAAGGTGCAAGCAACGACAGTTTTAAGATCAACACCAACCAATCAAGATCGAAGTTAACAGAACAAGCTACAGGTCAAACAAGTGGAGAAATTCGAATGCTTCACTTCTTCTATCTGAAGTTTATGCTGATGATGTTGTTCAAAGGGCTCCACAACCAAAACCACCAGCTCAGAGAACCAAACACCACCAGCACAATCATCCACCTGAGCTAAAAGTTTTCTCCACCATCTCATAACCATAATAAGAATAAAAATTATAATTCACAATTGAATTATTTTAAAACAGAAATAATATTAATAATGATAGAAAGCTTACTAAATTCTTTTCTAATTGTAAACAACAAATTAAAATATTACCGAATTCACGAAAATTTTGAAATACATTTGTACGTAAATCGGTATATTTATAAATTTGTTGTAATTGAGTGTACAGAGCTGTGAAAACAGCATCTGATTCAATTTTCTCCGTTGGAATCAACAAAGATTGTGGCATTAAACGTACTAAACGACATACATAATCACGTAATGTTTGATTTAACTAGAAAAAAAATATTATTGAAAGAATAATAAACATGAACAAGAGAAAAAAATAAGGCAAGTTTATAAAAAAAGGAAAAACAAAGAAGGAGGAGGAACTAAACGTTATCTCAGTAAGGAAAAAAAGTCAGTCAGTCAGTTGCAACGAATGACCAAAGAATATTAGGACAAAAAAAAGCAGTATAAATATATATGTGCAATTAAATTTAAGTCAGTAAATATCTGGACTAACACAATAGTTACTTTACCGGAGAGAAGAGAATATCAGATCGGAATACAACATGGAGTGATATCAAAGTGTTTTGAAGACTAAACGATCTGGTTGCGTGTACAAATAGAAATCTAAAGATTAAGGTGTAAAAATTATATGTCTTTTTCTAAATCTACTAACGGTCCACTTGGTTTTGAAATCCAACAGTAGTAATGTCTAAGGATTTTGCGCAACTTCATCCATTCTCTTCCAGTAAGTACTGGCTAAACTTGACAGGGTTGAACTAAATCTAATGGTCTCTCTTCACTGGAACTTCGAAAACCTCACGAAGCTAGTCACTAGTGATCATATTTTCATTGATTTTGCATTAGGCGATTATGGGCGATGGTAGTTTTATCTTATTTGTGTTTCAAATTGGGTTTGAGATAATGTTTAGAATGATGTCATTATATTTATTGCTTATTTGTCTAAGCAGCGTTGTCTTGTCTTTATTGATATATCAGTTTCAGCGGGAGTTTGCATCATGAACTCAATCTCTGATATTTCAGGGACATATAACCCTCAACTGCGCAGGAACAGCCGAGAATAAGCGGAGAGTCTGTTCTACCTCCCGAAATTCTTTCATATGGCTACATGTATGTAGTCACTGTCAGAGAAGTTCTACTCACTGATTTGTTATGATAAGGTGATAATAAGTGAACATTTAACGCTTAAACTGGGTTGCTGGGTACAGAGAAACCGCCAAAGAGTTTTGGAAAATCTTGATTCCAAACCAATGGTATATATACATCCGCTCCACGATCCTGAGGGAAAATGCGGCATATGAAACAAACTTTATCTGCAGGCTCCCATTGAACTGCATCACCTGACACTATACCATTGCCTTATGCGTTTTGATCTGCAGGTCAAACGCTTGAGAAGTGACTCACCTGATTAAAGCACTTGCTGTCGTTTCAGCAAACAGTCAGTATTCCAGCCCACATATAAATTCAAGGTGCCCCTTTGTATCAATTTTTTTATGTGTTTAAATAAATAATAATAGTTAGACATTACACCGTTGAGTGCCAGCTCAATGATCCAGAGGCATTGGCATTGGCGTGCAAGACCTCAAGTCCTGCGTTCGACTCCTGCAAGTAGCACGAGTCGTGGATACCCACTGCCACTGATGAGTCCCATACACAGTAGGACGAAATGGTAATCTAACAAGGATTGGTCAGTTGATGATTTCAATATGTCATAGCAACGACAGAAAAAAATAATAATCAATACCCCTGGGATAGAGAAGGCATTATTATTAAAACAAATTAAACTTACCAATGATTGAGCAACTTTCATAACCTCTTCCATAATCACATATAAACCTCGATAACCTAACAGACGACAAATAGCGGCAAAATGTGGTGCACCAACAAAACCACGATAAAGTTTAAATATAGTCTCGTAGCATGTATTCAGTGAACGACTGCCCCAAATGTATTGCGCCTCTACTGTTGGCGGTTTCTCACGTTCTAATACTTCAGTTAATGTGAAATTTGTCGGTACAAATCTAATGGTAGAATATTTAGTTTTTTTGTACAAATGTAAAATAATGGATTGATTTTAAGGCATGTTGTGTATATCATCAAAAGAAAGTTCATATACTTGGAAAATATTATATATATATATATATATATATATATATATATATATATATATATATATATTCTAAAAAGTCTCTTTGTGGTGCGCGCTACTTATAAGTAGTATATGACGTGAGTGTAAACATAATGTCTGGCAGCAGAGGATGGGGGAAGATCAAGAAAGGAAGAGTTAGAAGAACACAATGGAATTTGTATGAAACGCATGAATAGTGAACTGTCAGACAATGGATTGATGTTTTGCAAATTAAGAACGGTTTACGATATGGTTTTCCTATTTTACCAATTAACTCTGTAATTTGCGATAAATACAATTCGGTTGCCCTCACCTGTGTGTTCTCCTTCACTATATCTTGACTTGATGATTAACCTTGAAATCATGAATGAATCGTTGTTAGACCACCAATTGAAACCGTTTCGGTAAGGAGACTCATCAGTAGTGCATATCCACGATGCCTGCTACTGACAGGATTCGAACCCGGGACCTTTGGACTTGTGCGCGAAAGCTTAAGCTCAGGACCACTAATTCGGCATCCAACGCTGTAACTGTCAAAGTCTGATCAATGTAAATGATTTTGTACAACCTCATCTATTATCTCCGCTAGTTACTGTCTACACGAGAACACGGTTGAAATCCTCATTAGAATTTCGAGAACCTCACGAAACTAGTCACTAGTGAGCCTATATATTTATTATTTATGTGTATTCGATTTGCATTGAACTGGTTTTCGTCGCGCACAATATATTGACGACATGAGTTAAACCTTTCAATTGATTCTGTGCTCATGAAAATAAAGAGCAATTAGAAACCCGGAAGCACTGGACATCCTTTTGATTCCTTGTATAAGATGCATCAATAGTGTGCACTCACGACTCCATAAGAAAGGGGGGATCGAACCCAAGACTTTTAGTACAGGACACGAAAAGTTAACCTGCTGACTAATAATACCGGAATCCAACAGGGGTAATTAATGTCTAACTTCAATGAATTCACAATTTGGCGCAACCTCATCTATTTTTTTCGGTGGGTAACAACTGTCTTACACCCACCAACACAGTTCAACTCCACAAGGCACAGCTTTTTACTACAACTCTAAGAATTCCCTGGAGAAACAGGAGAGCCATTATCCGATAACTTAATGGAAATCACTACAAACGGAGGGTTTTCATCAAAAGACTTATTATTATTACTAATAATGGCTTTAATCAATATGACATGTTTAATACAATATGCAGTTCTTAGCATGGAATATTTTAAAAGATTTTTTATTGCAAGTACGAAAATAGGACAATCGATAATTAACGCATACATATCACAAACGGGTTGGCAATATGGCATTAATAAGGAAACATGTTGAAATATTTTACATTGGTGTTACGCATGCACGTAAACATGTCCATTTGATAAGGCTTGAACTATGACGAGTTTACCTTAGTCGAGAAACGAGAACAAGGAGCGATGATCCGGCGAAACAACATGCTACTCTAATCCGAACGTCCCAAACCTCTCATTGAGTAAAAGAAGAAGACTTGATACGAAGTAGAACATGTATTCTACACAGATCCAGAAAGTACGAGATTCGAGTCCAGAAGAATATAAGGATCTCGGACGAGGGATTCGAGTTCAGGTCCGGGCCATAAAACGTTACAGGTAATGCGTATTTATACGGTTAGCTTGAATAGGAAACAGCATCGAAGTCTATGGCATTGACAGTTAAGACGACCAATAAGAAGCAACATTTGAAGTGACACTGATAGTCGGGACGATCAATGGAAAACCACATTGAAGTACGTAACAATGATAGCTAGGACGACCATAATATTGACCCAGTGGCAAACTGACCAATGGAATTAAACTTCAAGAAATAATTCTCTTAGTGTTAAGTTCGTCACTCGGTACGCTTGAAGCTATTCCGAGTTCACCTTAGTCGATAAATGCGAACAAGACAATGAACCAACGTCCAAGTAGGCTACCTTGATTCCCTAACTGCAAAACAGAAGTCTTGATAAGAGTAGAAAGTATATTTTACAAAGACCCAACAATCACACAATACAATCAAGCACACAACTCTCATTTATTTATCCAACATCATAGAAACATCCTTGGGACAGTCACAAAAATAGCACACTAAAATACACAGCAACCAATCACACAGCCATGGATTTTCCTGGTGGGAAATGAAATATTGAAGGTCAACTGATCAGCCCATGCTCGCAAACGTAAAATCCGAAATAAGGCATTTATGAAGCGCGTTCTAGGGATCCAACATCCCCAACACTTAGGATATTTGATAAATATCCTAATAATTGGTTACTACTCACTCAGTCAGTCAGTCAGATGCAACGTAGAACTTCGTACGTATGTATACCAGTTCATGTTGCCATACCACATCAGCACAGAGACATCTAATTGTCAATTCAGATCCAATAGTAGAAGAGGTAGTAAAGGTGTATTCGAAGTAATCGGAGAGGTTAGGGTGAGAAGATATTCAAGAAATGTGATTCAGTGAGAAAAGTTTAGAAAGTCAAAACTAGAGGGGTTGAAGAATCCAGAAGATTAGGATTTGAGAGAACGCAAAGAACAATTGCACCGGCGCCATTGCAAACGGTTTTGAGCCATGTCGTTCAAGGTCTCTAACCATTGGTGACTTTCGTCTCGCGGACCCCAACCAGATAGCCTACATCTACCAACATGACTTAGTCCACTTGTCAGTGACTTCATGCATTTCTGCCATGTTTTGGTCTGGCCGCCCCTGGCTTTCTTCCAACCTATTCCTACACCACAAAACATAGTTCGTCGAGGCAGTCGGTGGTTAGGCATACGTAACATATGTCCCAACCACCTCAACTGATGAAGTTTCACCACTTCATCGATTGATCTGCAATCCTTACCTAGTACTCGTTTCCTAACGACAGCATTGCTTACTCGGTTGTCCCACGACATACAAGCAATGATTCTAGTAACTTACTAGTTATTGGTTACTACTGCGATTATTATTATTATTATTATTATTATTATTATTACTGTAGGTGTCAATAGCAAAGTTGGACTTGGTAGTTTCAAAATAAATTAAGCACTAAGGTAGAAAGTTATAGTAATAGTAATAATAATAATAATAATAATAATAGGATTTTGATGATTCCCCAATGAGCACCCGTGAACAAGTGACACGACAATTCAGATAAATTACAACGCAACAGCAGATAGTAAGAATAAAAGACTGAACAACAAAAAAAACAGGAAGCAAGCAAACTTTTTAACTTACCGGTTTGTAGCATCATTATAACAGTAATTTTTAACCAGATCATAAATTAATTCCCAAAATATATGAACAGTAATTTTGCCTAATCTTGATGTCACCAAATTATCTGCTTCATTGAATAATTCATCAAAATTATCCAATGCCAAATGTTCACTTAACATTCTATGACATAATCGATTACATTCGATTGACGCTTCTAATTCCTAATATATCAATCAATATACAAAATAGATTAATAGATTAGATAGATAGAGAAAGTATTGGCTCAACATGATAAATAGATACAAATTACAGTGTAGTTGAAACTGGCATTGTAATATAGATAAGAAGATAAATCATCATCAGCAGCGCAACAGCAACGTAGAACTTTGTACGTACATAAGTACATCAGTTCAGTGAGTTGGCGGTACTGGGGACGTTGGGGGGAGGTGAGGCGAAGGCGGTATACGACAGCCTGGAAGGTGCCGCCGGCAAGACGGCGTGGGAGACGGTCACCGGGCGGCTGATGACGGGGTTCGACAGCCCGGTGGACAGGGAGGAGGCGCCGCAGATGTTCCGTTTGGCGAGGCCGTCGGCTGATGGTGACCCGTTGGTGCTGGAGCTCGCGGTGTCGCTGCGCCGTACGCCGCCGAGTATGGATGGGGAGTCAGGGGCACAATTGTTGGCGTCGCAATTATTCGAGAGTGTGCCTGCCGCTGTGTCCCAGCAGCGGGAACTAGTAAACGCTACACGTTGGATAGATGCCGTACCCATTCCAGACCAGCGGGCAAGAACAATGACCGAAGTGGTAATCCGGCATATTGTAGCGTGTCACGGAATACGGAAGGTGATATTAACTGACCAGGGGCCCTGTTTTGAAAGACTATGACGACAGCTTAGTAAAAAGGGGGAAGAGTGTGGTGCGCACTACTTATAAGTAGTATATGACGTGAGTGTAAACGTAATGTCTGGCAGCAGAAGATGGGGGAAGATCAAGAGAAAGGAAGAGTTAGAAGAACACAATGGAATTTGTATGAAACGCATGAATAGTGACAATGGATTGATGTTTTACAACAGGAACAGTCCAGTTCGATATGATGAACTGATCTTTTTCAAATAAACGATTCACGATATGGTTTTTCGATTTTACTGAGTAACTCTGTAATTTGCGTTAAATACAATTCGGTTGCCCCACCTGTGTTCTCGTCCACTACTGGTGGAGATAGTAGAAGCATTAGGCATTGAAGATCTTATTATTCAAGAAGTAGAACCTATTGAAATAAAACTTAAAAACAAAAAGATAAAGGTGGTGGTGATGATAAGGAACTCTGAAGGTTAGGATTTGCGTGAGAGAACATAAAGAATGAATGCACCTCTGCGTCATTGAAAACGATTTTCGGCAATATCATTCAAAGTCTATAACCATCAGTTACTAATGATTGGCGGACACCAACCAGGTAGTTGATATCTAACAGCATGACTTAGTCCATTTGTCAGTGAATTTATAGATTTCTGCCATGTTTTGGTCTGATAAGATAAATGAATATAACTAAATATTAATAGTTACAAGATTCTATTTGGATGATCAGTGTAGAGTAGACTTCTACTATTATATAAATATATATATTTCATTTTAGGGATATGAAGATTGTTGAGTTTCATTGAAA